CTCTCTCTCTCTCTCTCTCTCTCTCTCATTGAGACAGGGTCTCACTGTGTACCCCAGGCTGGCCTGGAACTTGTTGCAATCCTCCTGCCTCAGCCTCCCAAGTGCTGAGATCACAGGCATATTTGGCTCATAATTTAAAGAGAACAAGTGAAGGACTCTCCGATCACAACTGCCTCTTGGTGGAATTACTGAAAAGGGCTTTTTAATTAAAGACAAGAAGTTGGAGGGAGACAGGTTCACATCCATAATGCAGGGTGCACTGCGGCCACCCATGATTTCATTTTCCTGTCCTTATGTCTCACTCTCAGCCTGATCTATATTGTTAAAAATCCTGCACGAAAAATGGCTCCAGCTTTTCAGCTGGAGTCGTAAATATTTACCCTTCCTAACTCCAGTTCCCTGGTTGGGGGAAGTTTAGAGACTTTTAAATGCAGCTAAAGATGAGCTGGAGGTGTCTCATTAAAATGTGGTCTCGCCTTTTCCTCTGCTGTGGTTAATGCTTACGGGGCATGGGGCAGGTGGCTGGGAGGGTTCAGGGACGTGATGATCAGATCGGGAACTCAGATGTGCAGGCTTGAGCTCTCCCTTGGGATCTCCTGAGCTCCAGCCCAGGGAAGGGCCAACGGGAGGTGGGAGGTGGGAAGTGGGAAGTGGCCGGAGCTGGCCATTCCAGCCCCTCCTCATGAGTCAGAGGTCTCCCTGAGTCCCTGTCTTGCTCCTTTTCTTCCCTCCACTCTCAATCCTGCCTGGAATACCAGGATACCTTCATGGCCCTGGGCGCTTTGCTTCTCCAGGTCTCAGCCTGCAGGTTCAATCCTTAATTAAATCTTAACCAGCATTCTTTAAGGGACACACACAGACGAGTAGGCTACAGTGGAGAAAGTTTACTTTACAAGTTAAGAAGTCACTAGGGTACTTCCAGATATCCTCCTCAGTGATGCTGCTTCTCCTCATGCAGGGACTCCAGGTAATATTCAGCCCCAACAGCCACCACAAATGTTGCAAATCCCCACCTGAACCCTTTCAAGAGTGCACCAACAAAGGAAGAAACATTGTTTGCAAAGCCACCCAGGATCTCCAATTCATTGCTGTAGTCCCAGATATTCAGGAGACTGAGGAAGGAAGATCATTTAAGCCCAGTCGTTCAGGGCCATCCTGGGCAACACAGCATGGATCCCTGAGCCCCATGGATCCCTAAGTCCTTGCACAGGCAGCTTCCCCTGGACAGTTTCTAATGGAGCCCCCTTGATTCTCCACTGTCTGTAATCAGGTAACTCCAGCTTGATGTGACCACATTTCTGTCTATGCCCATGCTCCAGGGCCATGTCTATAACCCCTGCACAGTAAGAGTCTGAGGCAGGAGGACTGCAAATTGAAGTCCAGCCCAGGCAATTCAGCAACAGTATTGACAGCTCTCTGACATGCCAGGACACTTAGTATTCAACCTGCAGGTCTAATCCTTAGGAGGGCAACCCTGGGCCTGGGCTGGGATCAGGGTCTAGTATGGCTTGGATGTGAGCCCAAAAACTTAGGTTTCGGAAACTTAATCCCCAAAGTTATGTGTTGATGATATTTGGAGGTGGAAACTTTGGGGGGTAATTAGGACTAGATGAGGTCACAAGGGTGGGTCCCTGATAGTAATGGTGGTTTTATAAGGGGAAGAGAAGCTGAGTGTAGGGGTGCACATCTGTATTCCCAGGACATTGGAAGGCTGAAGCAGGAGGACTGCAAGTTGATTGTTTCAAAACAAACAAAACAAAAGGCTAGGGATGTAGCTCAGTGTGAAGGCCCCTAGGTTCAATCCCTAGTACCATACACATACACATGCAGAAAAGTGAGAGACCCAAGCTAGCACTTTTGCTGTGTTTCCCCACGGGACACCCTCTGCCACACTCTGCTGCAGCAAGAGAGTTCTCACTAGATGCCAGTGCCATGCTTTGGACCTTCCAACCTCTAAGGCCCCGAGCCAAATAAACCTCTATCCTTTATGAATTACCCAGTTCCCACAAAGTGCAAATTCTGGGTGGACACCACATTATTCAGTTATAGCAACAGAAAATGGACTAAGACCAGGTCTCTCTCCTCTGTCTTGCCTTGATTGTAACAATGTCACACTGGGCTGTCGCTCTTTGCCCACTTGTGTATCCCGCCTCCCTCACTACCACTAATTCTCTACTCCCAACTGCTGGTTTCCTTGCAGACAGAAAGTAGTTTTTGCCCCAGTGCAGGGCCTGGAACATTGTGAGCCTTAGCAATTGGACATGGAGTGAGGGTTGGATGACAGGAAGTTCAGAGGTTTTCCCAGAAGGTCTGTGGCGGAAGTTCCACCATTACTTCCTGGCTGTACTCTGTGGCCCTGCCCAGCTTTGGTGGGGGGTCTGAAGGCCCCAGATGGACTCTCCCCATACCTTCGGTGCAGGTGGATCACAGGGACTCAGGAGAGGGTGCTACTCAACAATGTGTACCCAGCTATGGTTCTTCTAACAACTGTAGTGAGATATAATTTATATACCATACAATGCACCCAGGTAAAGGGCATCATTTGGTGGGTATATTTATGGGGGGTTGTAATCAGAACCACATTAACTTTAGGACATTTTCATCATTTCTGCCAAAAGGAAATCTATACACACACACGCCCGCGCACGCACACACACACACACACACACACAGTCCATAGTATCCACTAATCTTTCTGTCTCTATGGATGTGCCTATTTTTGGTATTTCTTTCTTTTTTTTTTAGTACTGGGGATCGAACTCTGGTCCTTGCACTTGCACAGCAGGTGGCAAAACCACTGAGCTAAATCCCTGGCCCTATTTTTGGTATTTCAAATAAAGGAAAGAATATATGTGATCATTTGTGACAAGACCTTTCACTGAGTACATTTTCAAGGGTCATCCATGTGATCATATATGCCAATACTCTCTTTCATGACTGAATAATAGTCCATGATGGTGTGTATATGGCACGATTGGTTTATCCATGCACCAGTTGATGGACATTGGGCTATGCCCACTTCATAGCTATCATGAACAATGAACACAGATATGACATCCGTGTTCAAGGCCTAATGTGGACAAGTTGTCATTTCTCCTGGGTAGATACCAAGGAGTGGAATTGCTGGGTCACGTGCCAGTGTTTTGGGACGGCATCTGTTGTCAGAAGCTTTCTGGCAGCCTCCTGGGTGGTGAGGGAAGGGACTCCGCTGAGTAATGCTCATGGAGAGCAGTCAACAGAGCAGAGGAGAGTGGAGTTCTGAGGTTGCCTGCCATGGGGTCTGGTCAAGTCGTTGCATATCTATGAGCCTTGACTTCCCCATCTGCTGAGCGGACAATCAAGTTGCCTCCTAGAGTTGTGACAAGTCTGGAGGAGGAAGGATCGCTGCAAGCCACTCACCTTCTCCATGTGTGCCAAGGACCCTGGAGATGCCATGTCAACTGCCAAGTGCCACTGCTCTGGTGCACAGTGCTGTCTGGGCACCAATCATGTGGGCCCAGGAGGGAGGCTGCAGAATGAAGTCCCTTCCCTCAACCTGCTCAAAGCCTGGTCCTGCCTCCCGTGGTTGTGTGTGGGATGCCCCCGGGAGCCAGGTTCTACTGGTGGGTGTGACTCCCTGGAGGGCAGGAAGTGTGTCTGTCTTGTCCCATGATGTGTCTCCAGGTTCCAGAGCAGCCCCAGGCACAAAGCAAGGACTCAATAATTTTTCTGAAAAGATGCTGGATTTTCAGGCTCAGTTTCTCATCTGTGAAATGGGCGTGATACTCGAGCACTCAGGCTTATGAGAGCACAGAGCATGCAGCCTGAGTTTCAGATGGAGTTCTGCCTCTCCCGAGGCAGAAGCATCCCACGGAAAGAGACACAAGTGCCAGCTGGGAAGAGACAGAGGCAGCTGTCATGGACCACGCTCTGGCCCTAGCAGGGGCTGCAAAGTCCCCTGGGGCTTCTCCCGCTGCCCTGTCCCTCCTCCCAGGCCCAGAGCCATTCACCACCTCCTGCACATCTTACCTGTGTCACGGGCCCAAGGTTTCTCCGTGCGTCCTGAGGTGCTGAAAGGGTATCTCCTCTGCTCAGAGAGGCTTTGCTCATTTTCTTGCTGACAGGGACAATTAGTATTGTCAGAGGTTGCTGTCACTGGAGATTTCATTACAACAGTGTGAGAGGGTGACGCTGCTCAGAGATGATCACGAAGCCCAGGTTATCAGGTGCCCCATGCTGCCCCCCAGAGATGTGAGCAGAGGGAGGGCAGGCCGGAGACCTGGGGTCATGGGCCTGGCTTCTGGGGGCCTGGCCTTCTTCCTCTCATCCCCAGGCACTGGCCCTGGGCATCAGTGGCCCTGGACTCCAGGCTGGCAGGGTCTTCCCCACTGTGGGGCACCTGGCCTCGCCTTCTCCAGCTCATAGGGACCTTATAAAGGTGGCACAGTGGATCCATAGAGCCGCAGCTCCCTGGGCTCTTGGGACCCAGTGAGCACGCTTTGTCAGTCTCAACACCTGTCCTTGCTGTCATCGTGGCATTGTCAATATCCCCTACCAAGACAATATGCCAAGTGCTGCCCTGGTGGGAAAAATTGTAGAGGGAAAGTGAGAGGTTTGGACCCTGTCCCCTGTCTGCTGAAGGGGACCCAAGTGACCTTTGGCAAATCCGACCCTGCTGGACCTTGGGTGGCCACCTATGTGCTGGGGACGGGTGCCATTATGTGGCTGGAGGCCACCTGCCTGCTCTGCCCCTCACTGGCAGGGGGCCTGGGGCTAGTGACTCAAACACTTACGTGATGGGAGAATGGTGGTCCTCACCTTGACTTATGGTGACAACCTGTGGGCTGGTTTCATGCGCCATACTCAGCTCCTAGCAGGACCCAGAGAATGTCACAGATAGGACCAGCCATCCCACCTGCACGAGGAAGCAGGCAGGTGACTGTGGAGGGTGTCTGGGCAACTGCTATGCAGTCAGCCAAGGGGTGGGTGTTAAGTTCAGTGGTGTGTGTGTGTGTGTGTGTGTGTGTGTGTACACATGAAAGAGAGAGACACTCAGACTCAGGCCAGCATCCGCATGCCTCTCCCAGGCAGACCCCAGGTCCACATTGTGGGAGCCTGTGCCTGGGCAACCAGCAGGTAGATGTGTGAAAAGGGTGGCCCTCGGTGTCCCCCAGGGGCTGCAGTAGGAGCCAGCCACCATTTGTGTCACTTTCCAGCCTGCCATGGGGAATCAAAGGCTCTGACGGCCTGTTAGCACCCATTCTCTGGGGATCACTCAGACAGTTTCCACAGCACTCCATGACAATGGGCCGTAATTAAGGTGTCAGCATATCATTTACCCTTTCTGTGCAAAGCTGGAGACAGGCGGTGATCTTCACCTCTTCAATGAGATGTGCAGAGACAGTGGCAGGGTGGGAGGCACGGTGCACACAAGCTCCCCAACTCTTGCCTCCGGGACTCGGTCAGCCATTTCTCCCAGAAGCCTTTGCTGACTCAAAGGGGATGGGCACATCCAGAGGGCAATGGGTGACTCAGCAGCCCTGAGGGTCATTGCCATGGAAGTAGGCAGCAGAGGAGAGAGCCTGGGAGGGGTAGAGGGACAGAGAGGACCAAGGACGGGCAGACTCAGCTACAGCCAGTGTGCCCTGGAGCTCCTGGGACCACCAGAGCCCTTGTGAGGCTGTTGAGGTACAACTGAGAGGAAGACGTGGAGGAAAAGCGTGTGTTTCAGGCTTTGAACTATGTCTACCAAAAAGATACGTTGAAGCCCTAGTCCCCAGTACCTGTGACCATGACCTTATTTGGAAAGAGTTTTAATATATGAAATCACGTTAGGATGAAGTCATTAAGGTGGCCCCTACTCCGATATGACTGGTGTCCCTATAGGAAGAAGAGGCACAGATGCATGGGGGAAGGCTGTGGGTTGACAGATGGAAGGTGGTGAAGAAGCAGCTGTAAGCCAAGGAATGCGGGGGAGGACAGCCACCAGGAGAAGCCAGGAAGAGGGAAGGAGGGACTCCACGCCGGGGCTCAGAGGGAGTGTGGTCCAGCTGACACTTGACCAGGGCTTCTACCTTCCAGAACTCTGAGGGAATACACTTCCATTGCTTTAAACTCCCAGTTTGTGGTATCTTGTTATGCCAGCCTTGTTATGTATATATGTACATGTGTGTCTCTGTGTGTATGTGTGTGTGTGTGCATGTGTATGTAAGAAAGAGAAGAGAGGGCTGGAGATTTAGCTCCATGGTTCCGCCACCTGCCTTGCAAGTGCAAGGATCTGAGTTTGATCCCTGGCACCAAAAAAAAAGGAGAGAAAGAAAGAAAGAAAGAGAAGAGAGGGTAGATAAAGGAGGGAGAGAGAAAGAGGAAGAGAAAGAAAAAAATAGGAAGATGAAGGAAGAAAGGAATGAAGGAAGGAAAGGGAGGCAGACAGGAAGGAAGGAAGGGAGGGAGGGAAGGAGGGAGGGAAACTGGGCCTGGTATCTCAGCTTCAGCATAGTGCGGTCAAGCACACTTTGTGTGTTAAGAGTCTGTCAACACAGAAAGTAGCACTGCCATCCCCACCACAACCACCACCCCCTCCTCCGTCATAATAACCATCACCATCGCCTCCAGGCAGAGCAGCAAGAGAGGCCAGAAACCAAGCAGGCATGTTTGGAGGCAGGGAAAAGAGCAGAAGAGAAGGAAGATTTGAAGCAGACTTGAAGGAAGGCAAGAGTTGCAAAGAGGGAGGAATAGGATTGAGTGGTGCCCAGAGGGCCTGTGGGGTGGGGCTGACCTGTGTCCGGGGCTTGGGCAGAGCATCCTTGGGGGACAGAGAGCTGGGGTGGAGGAGTGAATGGGAGGTGGGAATGGAAGAAAGGTGCTGGGCTGGTGGCTGGCTGAACAGATAGAGGACAGTCTCGGCCAAGGAGCCCGGGGTGGGGCCAGTTTGGTCCCCACACAGGAGACAGCGGCAGCCCTACCTAGAGCAGGGCCGCAGGTGAGGGAATCTGGGGGCCTGGCGAGAAACCTCTGCACGCCGCTGGCCACAGCTCACCCTCGTTGCCACTGTATGAGTTTGCGAGGGCTTCAATGACAAAGAACCACAAACCAGGTGGTTTAAAACAACAGACATGTGTCCTCACAGCCTGGAGGCCGGAGTCTGCAAACAAGGTGTCCACAGGATTAGTACCTTCTGGGACTAATCAAAGCCACTGCACCTTTCTATGAGTTCCTGGCGCTTGCCACTAATACTTGGCATCTCTTAGCTGGTAGCTGTATCCCTCCAGTCTCTGTCTCTGTCGCCAAATGGCACTGTCCTCTCTGTGTCTACATTCACATCTCCTTTTTTACTGGGAGGGGGTTGTACTGGGAACTGAACCTAGGGCCTTCACAGTAAGCTACATTGGCAGGCTTTTAAAATTTTATTTTTTAATTTGGAGACAAGTTCTCACTAAGTCACTAAGTCACTACGTCACTACGTTGCCCAGACTGGACTCAAACTTATGATCTGCCTGCCTCAGCCTCCCACAGTGCTGGGATTACGATCACAGGTGAGTGCCACCACAGCTGGCTGCATTTTGTCTTTGAAGGACACTGGTCAGTGGGTTAGGGCCCACCCAACCTAGTATAACCTCTTCTTTCTTGATTACATTGGCAAAGATCCTATCTGAGTCCATTTGTGCTGCTGTAACACAATACTGCAGACTAAATAATTTATAAAGAACAGAACTTTATTCCCTATGGTTCCAGAGGCTGGGAAGTCTAAGGTTGAGACACTGTTGTTGGTGTCTGATGAAGGCAGTTCCCTGTGTCCGGGACGATGTGTCCTCACATGGAACGGGGGCAAAAACGCTCTCATGCTGGACGTGGTGGCTTACTCCTGCAATCCCAGCACTCTGGGAGGCTGAAGCAGGAGAATCACAAGTTTGAGTCTAGCCTGGGCAACTTAGTGGCTTAGAAAGATCTTGTCTTAGGGCTGGGGATTTAGCTCAGTGGTTCCGGTGCCTGCCTCACAAGCCCAAGGACCTGAATTCAATCCCGGGTACCAAAAAAAAAAAAAAGATCTTGTCTTGAAATAAAAAATAAAAACAGGCCTGGGGAGGTCAGTGTGCAGGTTTTGGGTTCACTTCCCCAGTAACATGGGGGGGGGGGGGAGAGAGAGAGAGGGAGGGAGGGAGGGAGGAGGAGGAGGAGAAGGAGAAGGAGAAGGAGAAGGAGAAGGAGAAGAAAGGGAAAGAAAAAAGAAAAGGAAGACCGCTCTCACGTGAGGGTGCTGACCCTATTCATGAGGCCAAAGTCCTTCTACCTCAGTCACCTCCCCAAGGCCACCTAACACTGTGACAGTGGGGACAGAGTCTCAGCACAACTTTGGAGGGGAGACCAGCCTTCAAACCACAGCAGACCCTATTTCCAAAATAGGTCCAGGCTTCAGTGTAACTTTTGGGGGGCACAGTTCTACCTCCTTCAGCTCCTGTCATACTGGCTTGTCATCCCTTTACTGGATGCATTTAATGAGCACCTGATTGTCCCCACAGCTGGCCTGGGCATGGGGCTCCTGTGCTCATGGAGCTTACCATCCGGGATCCCAACACCAGGCAGGAGTTTTGGGGAGTAGGGCTGGGGCTCAGGGAAGCAGGGGAGTGCCTGGGCCACGCTTTGGAGTGTTGAGCTCAGAGCTGAACTAGGGAAAGGGAGCAGGATGGGGGAGGGGCTGCCTTCAATGACGTGGATGAATCCACTGAGGAGCTGTGGCATCTGGAGCCCGTGTAAACGGAGCATAAATTAGCTCTAACAACCTCATCTGGAGCGCCACACTGCAGTCTGCTGTGGACCCTGGGTGGGCTTGGGGTGGGTGGAGGGTGGGAGGCGGTCTGTATGGGCCTTGAATCCCACTGCTAGTATCACTTTATCTCTAGAAGCTACTGAGATAAAAATGTGGGCCCAGGGTGCTGATCCAGGGATGCTTTCCCTTGATCATGAAAATAAGCTGCTAAGAGGTAGGTTCCAGGTAGGAACAGACTGGAAAGCGAAGGAGGGGCAGCCATCTCCTAGGGTGGAGGACCATGAGGACGGGACTGAGTGCCTTGGCAGCTGTTCAGGGGTCACAGGGGAGGGGTGCAGAGAGCTGAGTGGCCTCCACACCCTTCTCCATACTCCCAGTGGCAAGCTGGGAGTCCCAGAGTCAGCTGGGGTGGGCCAGCCCTTTACACCCATTGACCCATGTCACCTTGACTATGTCCTTGTGAGAGAGCTTGGATCATCCCCATTTTACAGACTGAGAAATTGAGGGGCTAAGACTGGACCACTCAGAGATCTCTGAGCCAGGACCTAAACCAAGTGCTTTGACTTCTTGTTCCATCATCTCACCCTGCACCTCTCAAAAGACTCGGGGTCAGAGTGTAGGAGCAATGGCTTTGTCTTCCCCTCTTGACCCAATCAGCAGCATCACCATCAACCGGAGTCACCCAGTATTAGGTGCCTACTGCATGTCAGACCAGCACCTTCACCTCTCCAGCCACTCACTCTTTTGTTCAACTTAACAGACCATTTCTTTTTTATTTTGGTACCAGGGATCGAACTTGGGACCTTGCCCTTGCGAGGCAGGCGGTGGCACCACTGAGCTGAATCCCCGGCCCAACAGACCATTTCTTAAGCACCTTCTATGTGCTAAGCCCCACACCAGGTACTGAGGACAGGACATGATTCCTTGACCCTAAGGTGCTCACTGTCTCATCAGGAGGAAGCATGGGGACAGCTGAACTAAGCATAGACTGTGGTGCATGACCTAAGAGACTGAGGCAACAGCACCAGGAGGCAGGTGTCCTGGATGAGGTGGCCTCTGGGACTTTGCTGGCAGTGCATGAGGATCATCTCTGTCTGGTTCATGCTGAAGCTCAGCTCCCAGCATAGTGCCAGGCACAGCATAGTGGCCCTCTACATGGTTGTTGAATGACTGTGCTTAAAAAATAGGCAGGTTCCCAACTGGCAGGTGTGGGGTGGGGACAGTCATCTAGCCTGAGGGCCCACAAGGGCTGAAGTGTTCAGAGAAACAGCCTTTTGGGAAACCTCAGCTGGGAAAATGAACACATCCCTAAAAAGCACAGATCTGAGGGCATCCTGGCTCCAACACAGAAACATTTGCCGGGCAAATCTTGGCAGATTTCTTATCCTCTCCAATTCTCTGCTTTCTCGTCTTCAAAACATAGACTCAAGTGATCCATACTAGCTTCATATTTTTTGGATGGTTTTCTTTTTACCTTTTAATTACAAAAATGTTTACATAACAAAGAAAATGAAAAGAATGTCTCATCATCTAACTGCAACAATGACCAATGTATTTTTATTGTCATTTGAAGATATTTAAAGTGACCATTAAGCCCAGACAAAGAGTGAAGAGATGGGAACAGCTCTGACCAAGTTGGGATGCGTGGCTGATGGAAACTCCACCTGACCAACCGCTGGGTTGTGGCACCTCCAGTGACAGCTGGAAGAAACTGGAGGCCACCATTATCCCTGAT